ACCATGGGTAGCTCGTCGGAAGGACTCCTTCCGGACTCCGGTCCTTCGTAGTGGGCACTCCGCCGGGGAGGTTGTTGAACCACTATGCCCGAAGCCGCCAAGGGAATGGTGCCAATAGTAACCGGCATGACCATCAGCTGTTGTTCACGTAGACTCTTTACTAACGCCTCCACCTCCAGCTGGTAGGCGATCTGGATGAGGTTGCTCAGCTCCACGCAGGTGGGCGGCGTTGAGGGAACGGGCAAGTCGATGGTCTGGGAGCGGTTGCACTGCTTCAGCACCGACTCCCCCTTAGCTCGCGATATTATTATTCGCTCCACCCGAGAGTGTTCAGGACTAACGCTGTAGTATCTCACCAGCATCACCAGGCAGAGTCGCAGCTCGGAGACAGCTACGGCAGTGTTGTTGACTACCACCGTGGTCACGGGAATCTTCTGGCCAGGAACGTAGGCCGCTTGCGGGAGGTGCACCTCCAGTTTTAGGGGATCCGTCTTGCAGGGACCACAGCAGAAGGTGCGGTAACCCTCGCTGTGGGCAGCGGACTGTGACGAAAGAACCGGTATGATTCATTGAATTATTGTTATCTTAGTATCCACAAACAACAAACCAATATAATTATGGTTCATTAAAATTAACTAAAATGTTTGAACCACCTGAAGCTATTGAATACTAACCCTTAGCTGGGGAGTATCGAAATTGGGATCCAGCATCTTGAGAACCGTGAAGCCCTTGGTGTAGGCCTGATCGAACTTCCACGGTCGGATTAGCAGGACCTTCACTATGTAGCGGATGCATCCATGGCGACCCTCAAAGGATGAAGGACATTGATAGGGCAGCTGGCAGGCGAAGTTATAGTTGTGCACCCCAGCCTGAATGGTGAGTCTGTTGTTGTCTTTTCGGAGATATAATTGCTTAAAGTGCAAACATCTTTGAGGCTGCTACTCACTTTGCTCGGAACCCAACAGATAAGTGTTTGATGATAGATAATCCTCACGGCCCACGTAGAGCTTTGTCGAGCCCAGACTCTTCTCGCTCCACTTAGTTATGGAATACCCGACCACCTTGAGCAGCACAGCTGGGATTTAAGAGGAGGTAAAGAACAGATTAAGTTACGATATTAGCGTTATCATGCGTCTATATAATCAGTTAATAAAGTTAAAAGTGCGAAATATTATTAATCCAATGCTAATCTTTACTGAACTGTTATAAATACTTGAGGCCAGTTTATTATGGCCAGTAATAACAAAATACTCCTTATATCATTAAACCTGGTACTCGTAGAGTAAAAGGAAATTATGAAGTATGAAAAGTATGTAGCGTTTCCGACCATGTATATTCTGGATCACGATCAATAGCCGAGTCGATCTAGATATGTCTGTCCGTATGAACTTCAAGATTTTAGGAACTTTAAAGGCTATATACATACATAGTTGAGACTAAGCATGCGGATTTCAAAAACAGGCGCAGCGCAAGTTTCTTTCCTGATGCCCACTCTAAAGCACACAAACCGCCCAAAACTGTCATTCATTTTCTTAAAGTCTTATACATTTGTATCGATCTGGCAAGAATGCTTTTTCTTTTCTTTTAATATGCCAAAAAGAATTTCGCAATCCCGAGCAACGGGTATCTGATAGACGAGACGTTCGACTAAAGCGTTCTCTCTGGTTTTTAATATAATTTTGCCGTGCGCCTAACCCCCATAATCTCTTTATTAAAATAATACCGAAGCAAAGCCACTTTGGAGTGTTATCAATCAACGGCATACATTCCGCGTCGAAGAATGTCCGCTAAAATCAGTGTCGTCATAAAAATATAGAACTTCTACATATACCCTGGCACATATCGTTATCGAGCAAGTATTTATAATACTGCCGCAAGGTAGAGCTAAGTTTAGGCAGTTACCCGAACTTCTGGGATTTATTTTCAATGTTATTTCGACTATGGTTAGTACCTTGAACCTCCTTGGACCTGTCACATTTGAGGGTAGCGCACCCCTTTACTAGCTGACCGGCGTAGAAAGTACCATGTCTGTTATTATCAAAGCTGATCTCACACGTAACGACCATTTTGCAGAGATTAAATGTCCGCGCGCGAAAAAGCTAAAACCGATGTTCTGGGGCAACTCACTTCGACTAGTTTAAGTACAAAACTTCTGGACTTGCGGTGCGACCGCGTCGTTAGATAAGCGATAAGAACCATAACTTGGACCCGACGTCGTACTCGGATTTCTCCGGGAACGCTATGGAATCGCTGCGGAGTCCAAACTGTATAAGAGTCGATAAAAAGTCGAGCAATCACTTCGGGTTTTCGGTCTGTTATCTGGGTTGGTGGAGAGGCCTTGGCCCTGGAGAAGTTAGTGCCAGCATTCATGCATCATGGTCGAGTGGTTTTTAGGGGTAAGAACAGGGTATCGTTGGAAAATCTCCGCCTGTACCAGTCTGGGAATTGTGATAATAGTGTTTATTATAAAGTATAAGCTTGTGGAACCTTTGTCTTGTGTATAAATGCTATTTCGCCTTACATTTCTAATATTTCTAATATTTGTTTGCATCATGATAGAGTGTTTTTTAGGGGTACGAAAAGCGTATCGTTTGAAAATCTCTGCCTTGTACCAGGGAATTTTGATAATAGTGTTTATTATAAAGTATAAGCTTGTGGAACCTTTGTCTTGTGTATAAATGCTATTTCGCCCATATATTTCTAACATTTCTTATACTTGTTTGCATCATGATCGAGTGGTTTTTAGGGGTAAGAAAAGCGTATCGTTGGATAATCTCCGCCAGTCTGGGAATTGTGATAATAGTGTTTATTATAAAGTTCTAGGTGGAACCTTTGCCTTGTGTATAAATGCTATTTCGGCCTTACATTTCTAATATTTCTAATATTTGTTTCGCATTCATAGCCAGGTTCCCTTGTCTTTGTCCACATCCATGGCCGGATTGACAAAGGCCCTCTCCGCCATATAGTTCTGTGTGTAATCCGTGGGCGGCGGAGCTGAGGGACTGGGTATGTCGAAGACCGGGTAGAGTGGCTTGTAGGCACCGCCATCCAAACTGAGCGTATTGGGCGGTACTGGTTCCGGGTCGTCCAAGTCGTCTGACTTAATTGCAGCGGGGCTGCGCATGTGAAGAGCCTCCTGATAGTTGGGAGGAGCTAGAAGGCACAAGTATAACACGTAAAATTGCACTGAAATTTGTTTTCAATTCTAGTAAGCTTACGAATGGATTCGTCGACAGCCCAGGGACTCGCAGAATTAGCAGCTGGAGCAGTGGCTACTTGTGGAACAGTCACTGCATTAACATCCAGCTGGAGGAGCAAACCCCGAGGCTGAATTGGTGCGTGTTGCGACAGAGGAACACTGCCAATGGTCACAGGAATGCTGACGACCTCGTTGTTGTGGCAGCCCTTGACCTTGGCCTCCAGCTCCACTTGGTAGGCGATCTGGATGATGCCGCACAGGTTGAAGCAGGTGGGTGGGGTGGCCGGCACCCTGATCTCATAGCTGAATAGCTTCTTGCAGTTCCTTTGCACGGCGTCCCCTTTGAAAGTGTTTACCACCAACCTTTCGGACGTGGTATTGGGCAACGAAGGAGGCTTGCTGTGGTAGGTCACCAGCATCACGAAACTTATGAGGAGCTGCTCCACCGGGATGTGGCTATCGTTCGTGACCAGTACGCTGAGGGGCACATTCTGGCCAGGCACAAACCCAGTCTGTGGAACGGTCAGTTGGAGGGCCAAGGGATCTGACCGGCAGGGCCAGCAGCAGTACGTCTTCGAGGTCTCACTGTGGGCGGGTACCTAAATTAGTACTTGATTAGTTTAGTTTTTAACAGATTCACATTCAAGTTATATTTGCACCCTTAGCAGCGGACTGTCGAAGTTGAGGTCCATAACTTTGAGCACCGTAAAGCAACGTGTGTAGCTCTGGTCGAATTTCCAGGGCCTGACCAGAGTCACATTTGCCATGTACCGCACCCTACCGTGTGCTCCCTCGAAGGACGAAGGACATTCGGTGGGAATTAGGCACACGAAGTTGTAGGTGTGAATGCCCGCCTCAATGGACACTTGGCCTGCAGATAGGAATAGCAATTAGGTGTACTTTCGTGCCGAAATGGGGCTTTACGGACTGCTCAGATTGGATCCCACCAAGAAAGTTTTGGACGCTATGTAATCCTCGCGGCCGTAGAATGTGCGACGTCTTCTCCTCCGGTTTCTGGTCACCCTTTCAATCCATCGCGTCTCTGCGTATCCGGTTATATTCAAGGTGATGGCTGCAAGGAAAAGCATTTATTGAAAGCACGAGGTACTTCTCAAAATTGAATTTCACCTCATTGTAGCGCAACATGGGGTTTTGATTTGTGGAAAAGCCAAATATGTAGCCACCCCTATTTAATATCATTTAATGCGAAACGTATTGATTATTTAAAAATAATTTAATCTTATCGAGTGCAAATATTTATCGTTGATGCGTTTGTGTACGTTCACCGAACACCTTTGTGAAAACATTAGATTTCGCACGTGTGGTTCTCTGCTCACTATAAATACTATGAGTCACTGCACTTGATCTTCATTTCAAAACGTTGAACCGCGCTTCTAAAATGGCCGATAAGATAAGAATGACTCATGCCAAGTTGCCAAATGCTAAAGGTATCTCAAGTGAACTCCCTCACCTTTTACCAACTTCATCTTGTCCAGTTTCAACGTAACTCTGCCAGTTAGAACCTGGCCCCCAAAGTAGGTGCCATGGGGATTGTTATCGAAATCAATTTCACAGGTAACAGCCATAATTGTAATTGTAACCGCAATTGCGTATTTATGGGCCGATCCTACTCTGATGCCAGTGCAAACACGACTGATTCGATTTTAATGCCAATGTTCAGTTATTTACTCCCCAACTTCCGAGAAAACACGACAGACTGGAATGGACAACTTTTCGCGACGATAACACCCACAAGCCCACTGGGTGCCAGAAGTCGACTGAGAATGAAACAAACATTGCGGTGGTTCTATATTGGTAGCGATGGCCAGGAAAACTTTATCTTATCGCTGTCACAATTTTGAATTATACAGTTGCCAAACGCAGTCGCGCAGCACAGCGCTCATATCTCTGGAAAAGCTCAAGGACTTCTTGACTAGCAGGCATGGGAAGGGATGTCCAATAGTGCTCAAACACGGAACAGTTTCCTCGATCGCCATCATTTTGTCCCCTCCTTGTCCAAAGCCGCTTCCCCGCTCTTTTCCACAGTTGGAGTGGACAAATCGAAGACAGGATACAACGGCTTGTAAGCCTTCTCCTCCAGATTTCCCGGTTCCGACTGCTTCTCAGAGCCACTGTGAGTATGCATGGCCTCGGCGTAGCTCGGTGGCGCTATAAAAATCGCAGGGTTACATAATGGGTATGGCCTTTCTATAATAAGGAAACTTACGCAACGTGGATCCCTCCAACCAGGGATATGGGGGAGCCGCTGGAGCAGCAGCTCCCTCTCCCTCAATCAAAGTCAAAGCTCTTTGTTCTGGAAGCACTGGCCCGGAGCTCTGTGGTGGCGATATGGGAACACCACAAATAGTCACCGGCATTATCAGAGTTCCGTTGATATGCATGCCCTTGACCTTGGCCACAACCTCGATCTGGTATCCGATCTTAATAATGCGGCACAGATGGAAGCATGAAGGCGGAGTAGAGGGTATCAGCAGTTGGAAGTCGTATATTTTCCGAGAGTTCCTCAAAACCCCATCTGCCTTCAGCTTGGTCACGGACTTGCGCTCACACTTGGAACCTGAACCCAAATCACTGTGGTAAGTGATCATCATCGATAGAGCGACCTTCACTTCATACACCCGAAGCTTGCTTTCGTTACCAACCAAAACATTTACGGGTACCGTTTGCCCCGGCACAAAGCCAGTCTGCGGCAAATTCAGTTCCAGCGTTAGAGGATCCGAGCGGAAGGGCCAGAAGCCGAAGGTTTTCTCGCTCTTGGCCTGCACGGGAACCTTAAAGGGGATTACATTATTTTAGCAATATATTACAAATACTGTTTTCAAGTTTTCTTTTTCTGTGCGCTTTGAAAGGCATTTTATATTTACCTGGGAAACAGAGTTATAGGTATTTATGTCCATGACTTGAATTACTGTGAAAGCTCTTGAAAAAACGCTGTCGTACTTCCAGGGCTGAATGATACTGACGTCCACCATATAACGTATACGCCCATGGGTACCCTCGAACGACGAGGGACAGTTGGTGGGTATTTGACAAGCAAAATTGTAGGACCTGGTTCCCGGCTCCAACGGCATTTCTTTCGCGAGTGCATGTAATGAATTACGAATAACGAATGTCGATAATTAACTACCACTTATCATCTTACCAGTGCTTATTTCGGAACCCAAGAGATAGAATTTACTGGAAAGGTATTTCTCAAATCCATTGTACGATTCCGAAGTGGACTTGTTGTTTGAGTCAGTCTTGCTTTCAGTCCAATGGGTCTCTGCGAAGCCTTTTAGCTTAAGTCGAATTGCTAAGTATGAAAAATATTAAAGGAATTATATGACAACCCGCAATCAGAAATGAGCACTTACCTCTGATTTGAATCAACTTATCCGTGCTCAGGGTCACTTGACCAGCAACCGTTTGGCCCGCGTAAAAAACACCTTCCGTATTATTGTGAAACAGAATTTGGCAAATTATTCCCATGATTTCCTTTATAGTTGGCCCCACCGCCAGTTTTATATCAATTTATGGCTGTTGTCAATTGTTCAGATGGTTTCCCTTCAATGGTCGCAATCAAACTGAACAAAAAAGTTTCTTCCTGACTGTGTTGTGCTCCGATACCTTTAGGTTTATTTATCTTATCAATACACTTATAAATCCATTTATTGGTGAACCGAAAAACCCCCTCAAATTCATATAACAAATGGATGATTCGTAAGCAGCTAACATGTGAGATTTATCAGGGCCAACAGAGAAAGCAGCTGATAGTAATAATTCTGGTTTAAAAACAAATGCCCCCAAATGAGTTGGAAGTATCGCATCTGGGGAAAGCTCGCATCACTCTTTTAAAAATATATTTATTCATCGATATCGCACAACTCGGCAAAAATATATGATAATGAGGTCTTGCTATTGTCATGATTGTTGTATTTCGATTACTTATTAGTTATTTACACAGTGGGAATATTCATTTTCGATCCTTTCAAAGCCAAGTGCTTTTTTCTACCTCGTCATTGGCATAGCCTCCATCAGTCTTGAGTTCATTTGTTCTCAAAGTCATTTCGTCCACTTGATTTGACAAATCAAAGACTCCGTACAAGGGTGAAAACACAATCGCGTCAGTTTTCCTCACTTCTGACCCCTTGACGCTTCTTTTCTGAGACTTTTTCTTGGATTTCGAGAACTTCTGCGAATCCGGGGAGATGTGTTTGGCCTCGGAATAGGTTGGCTGAGCTAAAATAATTCATTGATTTCTTTATTTGTAATCTTTAAATGACATTAAATATTACATCAATATACTTACCAATGGAAGGATCCGCAGCCCAAGGATTGGGGGTCCCAAGTGGCTCTCCAAGCTGCTCGATGCCAATTAAAATCAGAGCCCTGGCATCCAGCTGCTGGGGTGGCAGGACATCGCCCCAAGTCCTGGGCTCTTTTTGGAGTTGCTTCGTTAGCGGCACACTTCCTATAGTTATGGGCATGTGAAGGGACTGCCCGCCATGACAACCTTTGACCCTGGCCTCCGCCTCCACCTGATAGCCGATTTGAATGATGCTGCATAGATTGAAGCAGGTTGGCGGAGTTGGCGGCACCTTAAGATCGAAGGTCAGCTGCTTGCGGCATTTGGTCGGCACGCCGCCGCCTGTTTTCAGGACCATCTCGAAGCGATCCTTGTTGGTGTCCACGGACGGTGGTTGACTGTAGTAAATCACCACCATAGTCAACTTCACGGTTATGTCCTCCACGGCTACGCCACTGTCATTGGAGACAATCACCTCCACCGGCACGGTCTGTCCTGGCACAAAGCCACCTTGTGGAACAGAAAGTCGCATACTTAGTGGCGACGAGCGGCAGGGAAAACAGCAGAAAGTGCGCTGGGACTCCACCTGGCTGGGTACCTGAAGTTAATCACACTCAGCTTAAGCTAAGGCGAAGTTTTAAGGAAGGCGAGAAACTTACCCTCAGCATCAGACTTTCGGAGTTCAGGTCCATCACTTTGATTACAGTGAAGCATCGGTTAAAGTTCAGATCGAACTTCCAGGGGCGCACGAACCTCACGTTCACCAGATAACGTATACGACCCAGTGTCCCCTCGAAAGAGGAGGGACATGTGATGGGCAGCTGGCAGGCGAATCTGTACGTGCTGGTGCCGGGCTCAATAAGCACCTCTGCAATGGAGCTTTGATTTCATTATCTCTTGATTTATGGTGATTTATCATCTTCGAACGCACCTATGCTGGAACTAGTCCCGTGCAGATAAGCCCTAGAGGCCAAGTAGTCCACATGTCCATTGAATGATTCACCGTTCGACTGATCATCCGGATCGTGCTCGGTATCTGCCCAGTGGGTTTCGGCGTATCCCTTGATGTTAAGAATTACAGCTGAAGTAGAAATAGGCTTTTACTTAGAAAGCTTTTTTAGCCCTTGCAACTGGCACTTCACTTCTAATCACTTCTTTTCGCAGCCAAAGTTTGCTTCGAATAGAGATAAGGAGTAAAATGAATCAGCGCCTTACCTTTCACTGGCTTTTCCTTGTCAGTTTTAATGACCACCTGTCCCGAAACCAACTGGCCTGCATAAAAAATGCCCCGGGAATTATTGCAGAACTCAATCTCACAGATTACCATGGCTCGAATATATTTGTGTGTTAATCCGGGAGCTGTTTAACTTTTACCCTGTCTGTGTCGTGGCGCCCAGCAAACTGAAGTCATCCACTGGGTCTATTTTTATTTTATTTTTTTGCAGCATTTATTCGACCACATTTTATTTTATCTTATCACTGCGATAGGTATCTCGGTATTTAAACACAAATTTTTACCATTGTATCGAAGTATTTACATATGTAAGTGACAGCAATTGGAGAAGTACGAAATTGGCAGGGCGGGCCAGTTTTCCCAAGGCTGAGATAGCGATGACAAGGCGATGTAGCAATGTGGGACTAGAGGGCCATGTAGCCACTGATTTATCACATCGCTGTTTAATATATTTATGGAGTAAATTCGCTCAACTGTCCGCGTTGCCAACCATCCTGAAAGACAAATATTGCACGGAGTTTTGTAGAGAGTTAAGGCGATAAGATAAAGCCGGCCGACGGCAAAACTGAACACACAATACAGTCCAAAACAGTTGGCCCAGTTCGTGTTTAGCAGCGGGCGCGTTAGGACCGTTTGCAAATCTAAAGCATTGGAGAGCTCTGCCACAAGCCCGTTACCTAATCGCTCACTCGATTTGCCACCATGTCAAAGAACTGCATGATAACGTTCGACCAGAATGAGCACGGCACCTACTTCACCGGCCAGGTGATAACCGGCAAGGTGATTGTCAATCTGAACAAGACCAAGAAACTGCGAGGTAAGTAGACTAACTAGTGGGCGCTTCTATTTATCGAGCGCGGCGTATCTTATCGCTTTGGATACTGCCGGGTTTGGCAAAGCAAAAGATTCAACAAACCACTGAAATGGGTAATTAAGTGATAACCATGCGGACACTCCAAATGTGCCATAATTGATGATTCCTGGGCCGAATGCGACCGATAACGACCTTACTTACGGTTGGGATCTACCCAGCTAACTTTATTTCCTTTCGAGGAAATACCAGGGGACTTACTCACCGCTATTATTAGCGATATAAACAATCAAGTTTAAAGGGTTAATTGTGGCCTTTGAATTTAAATTAAATGCACAGCCCTGATCAAGTCTTTGTAAAAATTGAATAATTTTATAGTGTGCGTCACGGCTTCCGTTTAATTTAAATTTAGGACGGGTTTATTACCTGTTCTTGGAAATGTCTCTTAAGGCTTGCCGCTTTCGGTTTATCTTATCCTAATATTAGACCTACCATGTGGGGCATACCAAAAAGATAAACAAAATGAGATAGCTTTTTTAATTTTGTAACTAAGGTAAGTTTATTCTAGAAGCCGTTACAATATATGTATAAGCCAGCACATTGCTTACAAAATTTAGGTTTTTCTTTTAAAAATGGCTTGTTTACATATTCTAACATTTCTTGTTTTGCAGGAATAAAACTGCAAATAAGTGGCTATGCACAAGCCCAGTGGCGCTACCGCAGACATGGTAAGGCGGTGGCCATCCAAAACCCTAAGAAGCTATCGAAGCACCAGTACAGCGGGCGGGAGGACTACATTGCCTCTACCACTTACCTCATGGGTTCCGAGCGGGGCAGCAACTTTAGCATGGACGCCGGCACGTACACCTACACTTTTGCCTGTCCCATTCCCAGCCACTGCCCCTCGTCCTTCGAGGGAGCCTATGGACACATCCGATATCTGGCCAAGGTCACCTTTCTGAAGCCAGGGGCTTCCAATCGCACCCACAACGTGGGTTTCACAGTGCTAAAGCTGCTGGACCTGAACCAGGAGACCAAGATGCTTCGGGAACCGGCGAGCAACGAAGCCGTGGAACACTTCTGCCTGATGCACACCAAGCCCGTGCAGTTGAAGGTCACTCTGCAGCAGCAGGGCTATGTTCCGGGCCAGTTCATGCTGATCCACGCCCAAGTGCGCAACGACTCCAGCTCCGACTGCCGGAAACTACTGATCATGCTGTACTTGCGAGCCACCTACACGGCTGATACGCCTTCGCTGCGCACCACCTCCGAGAAGATAATGCTGGTGAAGCGCGAGTGCGGTCCGGTGGCTCATCATGGGCAGAGGACGTACACGGAAACCCTGAGGATTCCGGCTACGGCGCCGACCTGCGAGCACCTGAGCAAGGTGGTGCGGGTGTCCTACGAAGTGCGTGTGGTGGCTGTTATGAACTGGCTGATGGCTAACCCGCGGGTTATGATCCCTGTGACCATTGGCAACGTGCCGCTGGCAACTGCGGTGTCCGGACCAGACTTCCTGCCCACTAACGCCTTCGCAGCTGGAAGTCCGCTGCCTGCCGACTTACCATGCACCTCCACAAGGGCCATGGAACTGGCTCAGATGGCCGCAGGCGGAGTCAGCAACTCCGGCTACGAGCTGACCGAGGATCTAGAGGACTTCGAGCTGCCAGAGGACGGAGATGATGAGTTGGAAGCCACCGACGATTTTGTTCCAGATTTACGTGAGTACAAGAGCGCACCTTACTTGCAGCTAGGACTGTATTATGAAAACTGTTAAATAGCGTCTTTAAAACTCTTTCTAATTACTGTTTTTCCACATTTTCCTCGTCTTTTTGCCCATAGCTCCTCCTACGTACGAGCAGGCCATGTTCATGACCACTGATATTGCGGATACGGACGCGAACACCGTCAGCGAGGCCTCCCAGTTTACTCCCCGCTACCCGGTCTTCGATGTGGACACATTCCAGAGCCCGCCGCCAAATCCTCCCCAGAAGAAGAGGCGTCGCCGCCGCAGACGTCCCGCCGATCCTGGACAGTCGAAGCAGCAACCGGAGAAACAACCAGTGGAGTCACCCGTGCAGATCTGAGGGCACTTATCGGGAAAAATCACGACTATATCTTATCTCGGCAGTATTTATTTATTTTACGGTTTGCCAGTGTACTTACCAAAATGTTTACTATATATGTGCATCGAAATGATAAACAAACCTGAATATAAAAATTTCAACTGGGTGACACGCGATAAATTGCGATTATAGCCCAGACAACCAAGTCCATGAAGGCATTGAACTACAATTGTATTTCTTTCGCGTTTTATAATCTAAATTGAACTTGACTCTACTTGGGAGGTTGAACATATTGTTAGCCCAAAGCATCGTCTATGCACTAAAAAGTTAAGCGACATTATTATTATAAAGTAATTTATATAGAGGCATCTTGGAAAACATTTATAGATGTATGTATATATTTTTTATCAGGAAAACTAACCGAGTGTAGATGAACATCGATATTTTGGGAACTGTAAGAGCTAGAAAGTGGGAATTTGGCATGTTGCTCAATTTATAATTATATTTCTTATTTTATCGATGTGCCAAGAGAGTTTTGGAACATCTTCATCCATACCAGATCACTAACAAACGTAATCAACTATGTCATACTTAAGTAGACGAATTAGCTTGATAGCTTTTACACCGTATTTCGAAAGAAATATCTTTGTTTATCTCGTATATCTTGAGCTGTGCGAGTTTTGTTTACCAATTTAAAGATTTTGTGCCTTCTTATTCGTAACAAAACAGCGAATGTCGGTGTAACAACAAAAAAGAGAACAGCGAGCGCAAGCCCCAAAGCTCGCTCTCGATGAGAAAAGCTTTGGCTCTCGAAAAGTGATGATGTCACTAGAACCAAGCGGTTGCAGACCGGCTGTTCTCTTTCTGTATTTCATTTCGGGCGCGACGCTTGTTTGGTGCTGAATGGATTTCACGTTGCGCGGCGTCACTTAATAAGATCTGAGATTTCGAAATATATTTCGTATATAAACCACATACTAAAGAATCGAGATCGTTTGCTAGGGGACTCTAAAATGCCTTCCACCTGCTCATTTGAGCTCGATCGCCGCGAACCCATTTACTATAGTGGAGAGACGGTCAATGGAAGGGCCATTCTGACAACGACATCCGAAAAGTCTGTACACGGTGAGTTTACTCCTTATAAAGCTAATAGTGCTGATAAGTTTTTCATTCAATCGTAATCTCTGCGCCTATGTGATACTCGTAATACCAAGCCGGTTTTATAGAATGCAGCTACCAAACAAGTTTTCTGTTAGCAAAGAAAGTGCTCTGCTTCTTATATAAGACGCTTGCAAGCGATCATTTATGTGCCTTAACTAGCTCAAATGTTTAATTCCTATTAGCCTAAAGTGTAGCCACTGTTGACCTAATACAAAATTCATTCATCAATTCCTTTGTTTTTCAAATTGTCCATTTTAAAAAAAACTTGAAAGCTTTAAAGAAGATAACATTGGCGTATACACACTCAAAAAGCGCGAAAAGAGAGCAACAAGTATTTGATACAGTGGATGAAGTGCACTTTAAATGCTCAAACAGTTCCATTTTGATTCCGCATTCCGCTCATAAAGTGATAACAATATGTGTTGAAAATATATACATTCTTGCATTGAGTACAAGCCATACAAAATTCATTCATCAATTCTTTTGTTTTTCAAATTGTCCATTCTAAAAAAAACTTGAATGCTTTAAAGAAGATAATATTGACATGTATGTACACATTTTATGTTGGACAGTGGATGAAGTGCACACTCAAATAGTTCCATTTTGATTGGGCTGGACGCATTCCGCTCAAAAGTGATAACAATATGTGTTGAAAATATATACCTGCATTCGGGTACAAGCCATAGTCAAACCAATAGAGTCCTGATTGGTAACGTTTCTATATAATACCATGTTATTAATACAATATCAACCATGCGAATGCAACTAATATTCTCCCTTTCAATTAGAGGTATACATTCTGTTCGAGGGCGAGGCAAAGGTGCGATGGGATGAGTGGCGAACCAGGACGAGAGCTGGAAGGACCGAGCTCTACACGGAGTATTTCCGAGGCAAGCAGCAGTACCTGTACACCCGGACCTCCGTCTTTGCATCCGGGAGTCTTCCACCGGGCACGCACACCTACAACTTCTGCATTCCGCTGCCTCTGGAATGCCCCTCCTCAGTGGTGGCGCAGTACGGAAAAATCTACTACGAGGTCTCCGTGGTCATCGATCGCCAGTGGCGCTTCAACAACGTCTTCAAGCAGCCACTGACGGTAATACAGACCTACAACCTCAACATGAGCCCTCAATTGCTGGTGAGTACGAAGGACGCAAAGGCTCACAAAACTGCAGATTGGGTTTTTATTGAGTAAGACAAAAAGTTCAAAGAAATCGGCACTAAATCGACGCAGTTTTAAATTGTGCTGCGGAAAAATGTGAGGACAATTAGATGAGTCATTCAAGTGTAGTAACATTGCGTGCCTTATGAACGTAACATACAGAATGATAAAACTAATAAGGGATGTGCTTAGAATATGCAAGCCAAAACTATGTGGCTAAATAAAAAAAACTGCACCCTATTTCTAACGAATTTGGCCCAATGAAATGTATACTAGAAACATTTAAATAATCTAATCGAACCCAACTTTTCATTAACCTTTGTTTGTCTTTATTGTATGTTAAATTTAGTTATATTCGACAAGAGCAATTAGCTAATATTAACAAATGTACAATCCTTTTGGACAGATTCCCCTAGTTCGAGAGGACATCAAGCACTTCTGCTGTTGGCCCTGCAGCTCAGGACCGGTGCTCTCGACGCTAACGATACCCTTCGGTGGCTACGCACCTGGACAGAAGATACGCTTTACTCTGGAGATCGACAACCAGTCGAGCGGCTATGACCTGGACGGCATCGAAGTGAAGCTAAAGCAGATCCACAGATTCCAGGCTCAGACGCCCCACTACAAAACCCGCGAGAAGGAGCACACCCTGCATAAAAGTGGTCAGCAGGAGCGTGTGTTGCGGCTCTCAAAGAGAAAAATCGAAGGAACTCTGGCTATTCCGGCGGTACCGCCCTCCACCCGCTCCGATGGCATTATTTCGATTAGTTACAAAGTGATCCTCACAATCAGCACGGGCGACTGCCACGTGGACTCGGACTTCGAGGTGCCGATTGTAATTGGCACTATACCATTGATCCAAAGTGCCGAGAATCCAGCCAGTGCAGCACAGTGGATACCGGAAACACCGGACACTCCGGCCGGAGCTGCCGCAGATCTGCCTCCCAGTTATGACAAGTGCCGTACTTGAAATGTGTATAGCGACAACATCAGATCATCTCCATTTGAAAATAAAGTGTAAAAATGTATCTGATCGCCGATCTGATTATTGATTATTGGTGCTGTATAATTCTTAAACTATTTACGTTTTTAGAACCACCAACCTTCGAGGAGGCCACAAACTTTGGGGAACGGTTCATCGACATCGATCAGGACGAGCACAATCGCACGGATGACTTTATTCCGCGTTACCCCATGTACACCAACTTTGCCATGCCATCGGCTCCGCCTCCAGCCGCTGGAGAATGGGATTCCACTCAACCCGTTCCCGTTCTGTCATTACCCCATGACCCCACTGCCCCCATGAGCGGTCAAAACAATACTGACCACCCAACTCCATCCTACGGTTGGAACTCCCAATCCTGAAAAGAGCCAAAGCAAAATCTCATTAAATGATTTTAAATTGCTTTACCTATCGCTATTACTGATATCTAAATAGATCTATAAATATCTAATAGAATATAATAGAATATCTAAAGAGATATTCTAAATATCTAATAGAATATCAATAGATTCGATATTACTAAACATAGGTTAGTTGTTTCTCGTGTTTCTGATAGGAAACTAAATCTTAGGAGTATATATAAGTTCTCAAACCAAATAGCACTATAAATATAAGCGTAGAATCCGGTTTTATGACTGAACTTTGCTTTACTATTCTTAGAAAGCAAACTTTCAGAAGCACTTTGTAAAAGTTTGTATTTTCATTTTTGATACAAAAATATTAATTATTGAGTCCCTTTGCATAACGAAGACCACAGCTAAGTAAACAACAATCCTCCTCGGAACAGAATTCCGCAGGAAATATATAATATTTTGAAATCCAAATTCTAAGCGAATTGAATATGACGGATTGTCCAATTCACCTACTCTGTTTGTACGCTGGTGCTCCTCGACTGTAAATAATTAATTAAGTTTTTGTGTTCCTCTTTCAAATCATTTAAATTTAAGTCAACAATTTCGAATCACAACCAAAATTCTTGAATCCATGTTGTCGATGCTAAATATTTACACATTTAATCAGTGTAAAAACATATAAAAAGTATTTCGATAGCAGCAACCGCAGGGATTTTGCCAACAATATTTAACAATATTTATTTTAAAAATAAAAAGGGAACGCAAATATCTAGCTACAGTTAAGTGCTGGAAAATTATATTCAAAATCGTGAATACCTCCAAAAGATACTCCGAGACAATGACGCTTTTGTGATAATGCATTAATATAATATATATATTTATGTAATTTTGCTAGTGGATGAAATAAATTAGAAGACTTAAAGTACAGCTGTGGTGTCCATTCAATAGGACTTCACTTCCTCGGATGGAGTCTGGTCCATTTCGTAGTAGACATAACGTGGTCTAAAATCCAACTGCTCGCCGGACAAGTAGTGTTTGTTGGTCTTATTCAGGTTGGTGGCTACCATGAACTCGGCCTCGCGGAAATTCGAAGCTAAATAGTATGGAAAAGGAAAATTATATATACAGATTCTATAAATCGAGAAGGGCCGTACCCAAAGATGTAGTGGAAACACTGTAACTCGCAACCAAATTTGGGGCTGCTTCGACTGGAGGAGTTGGTTCCGGGGCAGTTGCCTCCATTGGCTCTTGCATGAGGAGTTTGCCAGGGCACGGCGGCGTCACATTGCCAATGATGACCGGCATCCGGGCCGCAATGAAGCGTTTTTCCTGCTGAGTCGTGACCAGCACCTCCACCTCGTAGTTAAGCTGCAGGCAGGCACATCCTGCCACACTCAAGGTGGCCGCAGTTTGGGGCACTTGCAGCATGTGAAGGTGCTGGAAGCTCTGCAGTTCTGCACGGGGAAGGTTGTGCAGCTCGTGGCGGCTGCTTAGGACAGTTTGCCGCTCAACCTTGCTCTCCATGCGCTTGGGCTTATTCCGCAGATGGGCAATGTAGGTGCTGATCTGGACGAGGGAGTAAACCGCCTCGCGCAGTGGCAACTTCTCCGGGTTGTGCAGCGTCACATGGACAGAGATACCGGCTCCTGGCGAGTAACCCTGCCTGGGAATCTGGATCTGCAGATGCAGTGGCTTCGTCCAGAATTTAAGGCGAGGGGTCTGCTCGTAAGTCTGCACCTCACAGCTCCGTGTCTCCTGGCTGAGGGAGTTCTGTGGGTAAATCTGCAATTGGCGCACATGGAGCACCTGCTGCGGGCGATCTGCGCTGCTGTGGATGAGCACTTGGAGTGTGTACCGTATGTGCCCGTGGGCCCCCTCGAAATTTCCGGGGCAGTTCTTGGGCAGCTTCACGTGGAAGCCGTAATTGTAGGTGCCCGCCTCCATTATCTGGGGTTGCGCCGCCTCCGAGCCCACAAAATAATCGATTTTGGCAAAGAAATCCACGCGATAATCAAAGTCCAAGCTCTGGGCCACCACTTGCGACTCGTTTTTCTTCGGATTCCGTTGCTTTTGGGGCTGCTGCCAGGCGGTGCTCGCGTATCCATTGGCCTCCAAGCATATTGCTGAGGTAAAGAGCATTGGCAAAAAGATAAATATACAACATTATTATTCACAAATATTGTTCAAGTTCCAACTATGAAAAGTTACTAATCAATTTTGCCATCGATAAGCCAACTGAAAGGTATCACTGCGACAAGCCATATCAGCCACTTGTCCATAGAAGCAACCAGATCTCGATTGTGAATCAGCGGCACTGATGGCTACTCTACATGGGGTAGCCCATGAGTCACGCTCCAACTTGCCTTTGATTAGGGTCCGCTCCGAAAGGGTCAGATAGACGTGACCATTGACCGTATCACCGGCCCGATAGGCGCCGCGTGGGTTGTCCAACTGGATCTCACAGCGGTGGCTCATTTCCAGCTCGCTGCTCTCTGTGGACGGCTCGACTGCTAACCGATGTCTGGAGTTGTTGACAACATGCCCGCCCATTAAGAACGGGAATCCACGCGGCCTTATCGGTTGTACTAGGTGTGAGTGCTACCATGGCTGCTATCTCCAGAGCCATATCTAATCTGGCCAGGACGCTGTGCGGTGTCCGGGTGAGGACTGCTATCGCCTACCAAACAATTTGTAATTTAATTAAAACGCGTTACATTGGAGGGCAGGTGTAGCCTACAAATGGGCGAAAGGGTATCACGAATTCAAGGACTCGCAGGACCAGTGATGGGTATAGTATTTTTCTGTAATTAGCCATACAAAATAATCGACCTTTCAAGACCTAGCACCGCCATGTTCAATCCCATAAGCGGTTATTTCGTTTATCTTTCAGTAATTTGCTTAAATTGCATCACCACGCAACGCGAAATACAATTCACAAGCTGATTGTGTGTATACTGCAATTATTTATTGTCCACTTAAGAACGCATTAATTGGTACTTACAATAATAAGTGAATTAGTAAATGTAATTAGTAAATCGAGTCGATTACATAGTTAAACCTTAAATGTTTGACGGATGTATAAGAGCGGTAGTAGTATGCTAGAAAAACGAGACTTTGGCACTCAATAAGTTCGATTCGATCATTTTTGGATGGTACGCGAGTGTACAGATTTGCGCAATGAAAGCTCACTAAAACTAGACGACGGACTAGGATCCGGCCTAAAAATCCTGTATAAGCCTTAGTCTTGAACACTTAAGTTACTTATTACTGGGTATGGCAATACGTATATAAGACACTTTTCCTTCAGAACAGGTGCTCATCCTGGATCTCCTCGACCCCTGCAACGGGTGCACGTTGAATTGGCCGATGCACCTGGGCAGTCACATCCACATCTGCTGCCTCCTGCTCCTGCTCCTCCTCCTGCTCCTGCACCTGCTCCTGCACCTGCTCCTCGACGTGTTCGGACAGTGGACCACAGAGGGATCCGAAAGTGTCCAGACTCCGGCCCGTGTGATCCGTGTTGAGCGATCCGTACGACCTGTACATGTGCAAGTCCAAGCCAGAGTCCTCCATTCCGTGGGCAGGAGCTGTCCCAATGAGAGTGGAAAATCCAGGAAACTTGGGCAAGTGAATCCGCTGCAGGACGACTGCGGGGTTACTCCCTAGGGTTTGTTGACTGCCTGCCAAGGTAGCAAAGCTGAAAGAGGGCGGAACTGCGAATGGAGATAAAAGCTAGTTAATTGTATGACGGTCTCAAGAAAATCACCTTTTAATATAATATTAAATAAATTATTAAATATTAAATGACTTAAATGTAGTAAAGTAAGTAAATGTATTACTTAAAGATTTATGTTAGAGACTTCCCTTCCAAATGTTGCTTTAAATGAATTGCCGATATTGAATATCGGTATTATTTAATATTATAAACTCGCAGAATTAATATGTGTACATTAGAATACCCCTATGGTGCTATTTTTTTGAGCACTTCAAGAAGATTTCAATACCACATGTGAAAACCTGATTGACATGTTTTTCAAATTTGAATATATAGCGTACCATTGATATCCGGTACACGTAGACTAAAATTCTATACTAAATATAGAAATGAAATGAAATTAAGTGATATATATAAGTATATATATATATGATATACATGATAAGTAATCCTGATCAGGATCACTGGCCAAATCGATCTAGCCGTGTACTTAAGATTGTCTGTCAGTTTGTCTGAGGGTTAGGCAACTATTAAAGCTATAAAGTTAAGACTATGCATTTTTTTATTTAAAAAGTGTTTTAATTTTTTATTTTACTTGCCATTTTCTGTCGCTAGAGGTATACGGGTTATTGAATAACAGCTGCTTCAGAGTCATTATGCAAAAACAAGAGGAAGTTTTATAGTCGAGTTCCCCGACTATCAGATGCCCGTTCTCCAGCTAAAAACTAAAAAAAATTCATAGTGTGGGCGTAACAGTTTTGGGCAGTTTGTGGGCGTTAGATTGGCCGTGACAAAAATCATAAGAACTTCACAAGAACTTCTGCCTGTTACGTACTTTTCAACGAATCTAGTATACCCTTTTACTCTTCGAGTAACGGGTATAATAAATAATTTAATCAGTGGATATAGCTATGTATATTCACACAAGATCCAGTTTAGTTTACCAACAACTTCAAGCTCTATTCTAAGCAACAGTTCATCATACAAAAATAATTTTAAAAAGAATAGAAAACAAAATACTTACGTTAAATGTGTCGTGCTACTCATTACATTCTAAAACATGTTTACTATTTAGATAGAGCTATCCGAGCAATATTAGACACTTATTTAAAACTACCTTAATAAATGCGACCATTTGTGGGATGATGATTTCAGTGATGCACATGTCCACTGCAAACAGGAACAAACAAAACTTACGGCAACTGTCGTAAGACGGAGGCTCGTCGTCCTCTATCACCCGATGCGGCTCGTCGGTGGCCGGATCTGCTTCTCCGGCGGACTCCTCCTCCACAGTTGGCGGTCGGGGAGTGACGCGCTCGATGAGGCGCTGTCTCTCCGGCGTGGGCGTCCGTCGCACTGGCTGCTGGGTGTGGACCGAGTCCCTGAGGTGTTGCAGGGAGGTGGTGCCCACGATGATGGGCACCGAGAGGTCCGTGTCGTAGTGGAAGTAGCCTGTCTTCAGCTTTATCTGCAGCGTGTAGTGCAGAAAGACGATGTAGTTGGGGTTCAGGGTGGATCGGGGCGTGTCCATGGGCATACAGATGCTGGACTCGTACTGCCGCTTGGACAGGCGCAGAGTGCGGTCCGAGATGAGCTCCTTGACCAGCGTCTTGGAGTAGAAGTTCCGCTTCACAGGCTTCCGCGACAGGAAGACGAAGTGCTGCTTGATGGACACCTCCACGCCGATGATGTCGTAGTGCGGCGATTGGTTGTCCACCTCCAGCCGGAAGGGCACCTCCTGAAGGGGCGTGAATCCGGAGGCGGGCAAGGTCAAGGTGGAGCAGATGGGGCCCGAAATGCAGGGCCAATGGCAGAGGTACTTCAGGTTCTCGTCCTTGACAGGCAGCTAATGTGGGGGAACGTATTAGTTAAATGAATGGCATGGCTGTGACTTGAACAGCTCTCAAATTCTATTTGGTATTCAAAAATCCAATAAAAATGAATCAATATTCAGGTTTAAGTCCAAAACTGGTTGCCCCATGTAATATACTTCTGGAATGACCAAAATGTAGAAGTACTCACTGCAAACTCCGCATTGTAGTTGAGGTCCAGGGTCTGCACCACGTTGATGGGCTTCCGGAAGACCTCGTCGAAGCCCCAGGGCTTGTCGATGGTCAGCGAGATGGTGTAGGCTATGTAGCCGTAGGGACCCTTGCAAGTACTGGGACAGTCCGGCGGAATCCTGAGGGTGAGGACGTATACGTGGACCCCGGCCCGGAAGAGGGTGTTATCGAACACATTGGTGCGTGAGTGCAAGTATTGCTGATGGCCCGAGTAGTTGGCCGTCTCGCTCTTGCCGCTCATCGACCACTGAACCTTGGCCTCGCCCTCCAGAGTCACATACACGGCTGGGGATTTCAGAACTTGTAGTCTTCCCAGGGGATAGGAGCTTAGGAGCTTAGGAGCTCGGGAGTGCTTTGAACCCACCATTGACGCGCTTCACCTTGTCCGTACGCAGCAAAATGCGACCGCTGATGTACTCGCCGCTGTTGTAGACCGGATTCAGGCGATCCAGCTGAAAGACACAGGTGGTGGGCATGGCTGCTGACCCAATCCTCACTGCCAGTTCATCACCACTATTTCTGTGCTCGGAAACGGGCCTGTGGAGACGGAGCACCAAACAACCGCAACCCGACTTCCACACAGCCAGACGCGCACTGAGTTCTGAACGGCGGGTTCTTTGTCAGCATCCGACGCCATCGGGCTTTCGCTTTCCGGGGAGCGGCGTCTCGGGGGCGGCGAATCGATAAGCTGGCGCCTTGCGTCTGTGTAGCCGTCTACTGTCTGCTTCTGGTCTAATATTTCAGCGCGAACCGTTCGGAAATGGAGCAGCTTTTGGCTGTGAGTCCTTTCGGTTTCCTTTGTTTCGCTCCGGCCAGCACACACACTCGCCCATGTGGCGGCTGAAACGGTGGACGAATGCCAAGGGGCGGATGCTGGCGAGGTCAGGAGCCAGTATCCACCACGTACTGGGGTACATTCTGGTTATTACCATATATCAAGCGCCGATACAACGGCCGAAAGAATGTCAACAAAGTCGAGCAGTGCGTCACAACCCCCTTACCCTTGGCCACTTTGCTGCCGCATAACGTGGCACAATTAGGACCCCAAATTATTTGGGCACTCACTCCATTAATCCGGCATGCATAATTCCGATAATGAGAGCGTGCCAGTTGGCTGGGTGGAAGGAGGCTGCCTAAAATGCGATGCTCCCAGAGAAGGAGGGCAATATTTGCACATTTTTAAGTATGTTTCAATAGCTTGCTCAACTTTATTGGGTAGTAAAAGCTATAAACGTTTTTACATGTTAGTCAATAGTTCCACCATCCATTTGTTTGTTTGGCTTACGCATTTCAAGTTCAATTGCGGTGAATTCTAAGTTTTTTATGTAAATAGTAACCATCGAACCCATTCGTTTGTTTACTTACGCATTTCAAGTTCAATTACAGAGAATTCTACAGTTTTCAGTAGCTTGCACTGAAATTCCAGACTCGGCACGTGTCAGGGTAGCACTTTCCTAAAAAAGAATTTCAATGCTAATTGCACGTACGACTGTTTTCTCTTCGGGCCTTTGAGCAACTTGATGCGTTCACAGTGTTTGTTCAGCGCCAAGCCGTCCAGTTCCCGGGAACAGCTGTGGGCCAGAAACTGATTAACTGGCCTAAGCAGCTCGCCGTGGCTCAGGGCTAGAGGGGCCATAATTAATTACTTGTGGCCCTATTGTTGGGATCCGTGGGACATGTGGACTTACCCATATTTACGAAGCAAAGTTCGGACGCTTCCAAAGAAGAATTTACGGGGGGTGCAGCAGTGGCCACGAAAATGGGCAGCTTGATTGGGGCATTCGGGAAGTTGAATGTCTCAATGTAATAACTGATTTGTATGTGTTCCAGCTGATCTGAGGCACTCATAATGGGGGCTGTAAGGGGCAGCCGAAGACTGCCACTCAGTTCCGAGCTCTCGGCCAACACTTGTGTCCTGGTCTTGGTTTTGGCATTTGGCCGCTGACTAGTGTAGCTGATTTGGCTGCACAAGCGGGTAAGGAAGTCCTGCACTGCATCCTTGGCATAGATTTCATAGCTCACACTTTGGCCCGGCACAAACACACTTCGCGGCAGTGCAAGGGCCACATTCGAAGTCTCCAGGTACTGGGGCTTGAGATCGCCGAATTCCAGACACCTGCGTACCACCAATCGCTGCTGGAAGCATTTGTTATGTGTGCCCCTTCTTTCGAGTACGACCTTCAGCACATAGTCCACACTGCCAAAGGGAAGCCTGCAGCTGGCTGGCAGGTTTTCAGGCAGCTGAAACTCGAAGTCACCCAGTGGGAAGGTGCCAGGCTGCAGGCGAATGGCTTCGGTCAACCTTTTTGTTTGATTTACGTGCACCTTGCTGCCGCTGTAATCCACTTTGGCGCACTCCAGGTTTCCGGTGCTGTCATTGTGCTCGATTTCCGGCGCTCCTCGCAGGGATTCCCGCCAGTGAACCGTCGAGACTCCGTGGAGAGTGACACTCACGCCTGTCGAATGGGTACAACAACAAGATCAGCACAACAGATTGCCCTCTATCTGCAGCACTCTGCCTATCTAATCACTAAACCAACTCATTTGCCTAATGGCATCTTACCCTCTAATTTGGCATTTTTTTTCCCGGCGACTGTCACAGTGAGTGAACCCGAAACTCGCTCGCCGGTGTAATAAACAGCAGCGGCACGCGATAAGTTGAATTCACAATTTATTGGCATTTTCAGTGGCATGCAGCAGATTTACTACGACTGAGACTCCAGTTGCGACCTCGCCAACGAACGGCAAACAAGTGACTGTGCCAACTTGAGGTTTCAGCCGAAGCCGTTGGAAGTCTGGAAAACTTTTCCACACGAGTCGTCTGAATGGGAAATGGCTACTGCTTTACTGCTAACTTGGCCCGCAGTCTGTTTAGGCCGCAGCGATAAAAATACTTAAATTAGCTTTATGGTCCAGCTCAGCGGACTGAGATTTCTTGCTGATAATGCCGCGGTGTGAATACAGGATGTAAATATGACTACAGCTTTTGGGTATACGTAATATATTTTGCTTGTTTCGCTTTATTGAGTCGGCTAAATCGAATTGAAGACAGTTAAGACTTAGGAATAGACTTATGTGATTGCTGGTTAGACGGTCGCTTAAATAAGAGGAAGTACAAAGTATACACGAGTAGTAAGACAACACAATCTAAATGTAATCGCTGGTATGGAAACCAGGGCAAAGGAGACTTTTATACGCGTATATAATTGTTGGACAATATTTCGTTTAAACAGCTAAAGTAATGATGATGTGTTGATTTAAAATAATAAAAAACAAAATACAATTTAGCTAATATTTAGTGTAAATTCTTACAGACTTATAAATACAATATTCAATATTGGAAAATGTTAGTTTCGCGCTTAGTTTCAACTTTCCGTTTGGTAAAATTGTGCAGATTTTGTTAACATTACGGGCTAAATGATTTAATCTAACTTCTCACTACGTTGTTCACATATATTTAGCCAGCGACCACTGATTCAAGTTGTAAGTTCAATCTGCTTACAATTTGCAGTACTTAAAAAAATAATTGCATAGGATTAGTTTAAAAGGGGAAATAAGGATTAGAAGAGAAAACCTTGCAAGAGGGCTGATAGAAGAAAGTGCGGATAAAATAATTAAATATTCAAATTGCATTTTAGCTGAGACAGCTTTCTTCTCCAAAATATATCCCATTCTGCTGTGGCTCTATAAAAAAGTGTTCGATTCGCCATTTCCAATTTTAAATTACGCCCTGACTTAAGTTCTACTATGTTAGCACATTGCGTTGAATTTTCCAATCTATAGTATTTTGATTTCGATTAAATATGTTGTTGGTTTGCATTTTCGTACCGTGTAGTCCCAGGAAGCCTCATTTCTTTTCGCAGGTAAGAGACTTTCCTCCTCGTGTGTTCGCGGTCACCTCCTCATCCGTTTCCGGTGCCGCCGAGTCCTGGCAGCTGAGTGTGAGACGCAGTCGGGAACTGGACTCATCGTAGAGCGTCTCTACGGTTCGAGTTGCGAAGGAAAAGGTGGTGGGGTCGTGAATGGACGTACAAAATGTAGCATGTTTTGGGCGGTAACAAGAGAATAGATTTACAAGTTAAGCACATTTTGAAAGTGATGCTGCTCGGCTTACGTCTAATTAGCAGAGAAATGCATATTAGGAAAGTAGAAAAAGTTGAGATAAGCTTTGAAAATGTATAAAACGTTCTTAATTGGTATTTGATAAATATATTCGTCTTAAACATTAAAAGGCGCCATAATAAAGCAGCAGCGAACGGCTCGATATAATTTAAATTGATAAATGTTTTGGTTCAGGCGCATACAAGTTTTTCGTTTTGGTTTCAAATTTAATTCGTAATTAATGTATAGTAAATGTAATAAAAACAAACATGTACTTATGGAAGGTAATGGATAAATTATATATTAAGAATAACAAAACAATTTTTATTAATTTATGTTCGTAAAAATTTCTTCTATAATTATATATATAACAGGGTAATGCAATAAAACGTGCAATTATTTTAGATACACAATTTTTATAATAGGAATAAAGTGTAATTCATTAAAATGATATGGACACGTAAGTAATGAGATTCAACTGAAGTGAGATGGGCTTAACAGACACTCGGATCAAGGACATCATTGAACCTTATAATTCAGATGGGTTATGAATGGGTTATGAAATCCTTCTTATCAGACAAGTACAAATATTAATGTTGAAATGCAGTTTCTTTGGTTCTAGGCGGACAAAGTTGAATGAATTCCATCTCTTCGCATTCCATCTCATTACTTGAACATAACGTAGCACATTTATGAAAATTCTCTAACTACTTTAAGTAAGGGGATAAAAAAGAATATAGAAAAAGCCACTCAGCCATTCAATTGATTGGTTCATTTTTCATTTTTAGCTTTTGTTTTCTGGTAAACAATTTTGGTTTTTGTTTTGATGGGGTTTTATGTGTCGGATTCATTAGAATCATCACTACCGGGCGGTATGGTCGGTGTCTCATAATCGTAATAGACCGGATAACGCGGCTTAAAGGGCTCACTTGTAGTAACATCAGCCTGAGCGGACAAAATGCTGCTCATGCTAACGTTGGTCAAGAACTCAGTGTCATCGCTGAACTTCTCACTCAGAGCCATGGCGTCTTCATACGAGGGCGGCACTGAAAGAAACGAGTGTTACAAAAATATACAGCACACAAACTACACTGATGTATTTGAGTACAACAGTTTCAATTCAACCCGATTGCTCAATTTGGGAAGGAAGGCGGAATAGGTATTCGCTGGTCTTACTCATGGGTATATAGTCCGGGGGATTATCGCTATCACTGGTCACCAAAATCGCTGGCATGGCCGTTGGCCTGAGGGCGGCAGTTGTTGGCGTTGATGAGGGCGTGGAGCTTGTGGGCGTGGGACTGGCATTCACTATCATATTCATGTTCATATTGCTATTGGTCGGCAGTAGTCCGCCCACAAGGCGTCCATGATTGTTGTTGTTGTTGTTGATGCTGCTGATACGTCGCTGCTGAACTGAGGCACTTGTGCGGTCCCGATCTCCATCTCTTCCGCGATCCGGATTCATATCCCCATCCCGATCCCGATCCCGATCCCTTTGGCGCCGCTGCGTCGAAATTTGTAAATTTTGACTAACTACTTGGTGCTGCTGCTGCTGGCGATTGAATCGCAGCAGGGCCTCCGGACCATCCATGATCGGAATACTGCCGATGGTCAGCGGAATCTTCAGCTTGAGTTTCCAGTGAAACTCCGTGGGGTTCACGATGATCTTAATCGAATAGTTAACGCTAATGGGGCACGTGGGCTTCACCGACGTGGGCGGTATCGAGGGCAGGTCGAGATACCCCCGGTACACCTTCCTCGACCATCTCAGCACGTTTCCGAACTGCTTCCGCGCAATCAGGTGCTTGTCGTAGCGGTACTCGTGCTGCGGATCGTGCGACTCGTAGCTCACCTCCTGCTTCAGCTTGACCTCGCATGCGGTGATGTCGATCGAGGACTCGTTGTTGATGTACAGCACGAAGTGGATCTTCTGGCCGGGCGCATATCCGCAGTACGGCGTCGAGAACTTCACCGTCAGCGGGCCTGTGGGGCAGCAGAAGCTCCAGAAGCGCTTTCGATCGAGGATCTCCAGGGGAACCTGGGAAACCAGTGCATTAGCAATAGTCTTGGCCATTTATAAGCATAAGCCAATCATAAATTAAACCTACATGCGCTGGCAAGCCGAATAAGCACTTACCCTGTAAATGGCATCGGCGTTCAGGTCCAGCGGTTGTATCACGGTAAAGGGCAGCTTGAAGACCTTCGGGTGACGAGCGGCCCTCTCGATCGTCGTTATGATCTCGTAGTGGATCTGGCCATACTTGCCGTCGAACGACGTGGGCAGATTGTCGGGCAGAACCACGTGGAAGGTGTACGAGTACTCGCCGGCCGGCCAGTCGATGCTCGAGTTGTTCGCGCAGGATCCGAGGACGTAGGACCGCGAGGACAGATACGATCGGTAGGCACGGCACATGGCGCGCTCGCTGTCGCGCGGATATCCCTTTTTTATCCAGCGTATCTTGGCATAGCCGCTGACCGTGACGTGAATGCCTGAAAGGATTCCCCACCCGCTGTGAGTAAGGATTGCGAAATTGAATTGCAGGCCCGAAATTCAAGACCTATGGACTTGAACTTAGGACATACTCGTATGTCTGAATCATCTGTAGCTATAAACTAATTCTTTTATGTCACAAAATGCAGAAATGTATCGAAAGAGACGTGCTAGGTAGTTATTATGATACCTTATGATATACATTATGATACCTTTTAAAGGTAGTTCAAAAGCGATACAAAATATTTCAAAGTGTCTAGTCAACTATTTTCCGCGTGCAAATGGCTTTCCCACAAAACAAAAACTAACCAATAGCCACGCCTTTAACGAGTTCATGGATAACTGAAAATGGCGGCATGCCAAGAGCAGCACAACAACTGCGGGATATTCCACAGTGACAGCCACAACAGCCACATATTTTTGGGGGCAGGGCGCCAGGAGCAACGATTAATAGTAGAGCACGTTGAAATCGGCGTCCGGGGGGAGATACATTTTAATATTGCCATTAGCTGGTGGCCTTCGTGCATTTAAATGCACCGAGTCGCCGAGTCGCCCCACCGCACCGAAAGCCAAGTGACCGCATCACTCATACGCCCCGTGAGTCATGGGCAGCGTTTTCGTAGTATACCTTAGGGGGCTCACCTTTAATGCGCTTCGTGGCGTCGACGCTGAGATCAACAACGCCGGATAGCTCCTGTCCGGCATAGTAGACACCTTGTGGATTGTTATCAAATGATATAAGGCACTCAATGGGCATATATTGCTATATAGTTGTCGGTTGTGTCCGTCAGTCCGTCTGTGTTAGAGGTGTGTCTGTGTGTGTGTGTTTGTTACTGCGGCCTGTGCAAAAATCAGACCACAGATGTAAAAATATCACTGTTCCCTTGCTGGCTGGAGGTATGAATTGAAGAATTTGGGAAATGGGCTATTTCGTTCATTTGCTATATGTCATCAAGCCATTTGCACTTTGCCTTTGTTGCCTTTGTTGCCTTTGTGGCACTCGCGCTGCATTTTCTCGGCACCCAGCGGCCTACACACATGCACACGAAAAATTTGAAACGCTTTCCACGAGCCACAGACCGTCCGACCTCAAAATTCCTTCTGCCGTAACCTACTTTTCCTTGCACGCACTCAGCCGACGGGGCAATCACTTATGGAAATTCGGAACTATTCGCAGCATTAGCACAGCCGTGGCATATTAATTATACTTGGTGTTTTCCTCTGGCCCCCTGATTGTCAGTCTGTCTGTCCGCTCGTCTGCTCGTCTGCTGTCCGCCTATCGCAACGATTCCGGGCTTGAGCTCCTTTTTTGGCGTTTCAATTTGTTTCGATTCGATTCAACTCGCTCGCAGCTCACAGCAAGCACGTCCAGCAGCCGCTCGTGTTGGATTTGCTCTACCCGCATGTCACCATGTCGCCCAGAGCGGAGTCCAAGCCCGCAGCCGAGCGTAGGATGTACGTACTCGGGTCGCTCGGCAGAGCCGACAGGACCTGCGGCTCGCCAGCACAGCAACCCCAGAGAAAAGCGCCGAGCTGAGAGTCACGCACACGTGCTGCCGCTGTTTGTTTTTGTTCCCATCGCAATGGCAGGGTTGACAGCCTTGATGCAAATAATGCTATTTTCGGGCTGGCGTTCGAAAACTAATGCAAAAAAGTGCAAATCACACATAATTTGCAACCTTTGGCTTGAAATCGCTTCCAACTCGCTGAATATTATGATAGGTGCGACACCTGTGGGCAGAATGAAATATGAGTGGGGCGCCACCTATTGATAAAATAATAACTTCCCCCAGGCTCCATCTATTGTCAAAAGACTATTTGCTCAGTGGTGCCATCTGCCAACGAAAGAGAGCGTTGCCACCTATTGAGGATTTAAAAAAATGCCAAGTGCGGCACCTGGCGCCAAAACCAGCATTCACACTGGCGCCCTCTAGCTCTGTAAACAGCTTGCAAATAACATGCAACTAACATTACCGCTTACATTGGCGGACCGTATCTACATGCCCCAAAAATGAGCTGGAAAAGCGTTCTAGGTCCGTTAGTCAGCCGCAGTATGGCCACACAGAGCACAGACGTATATTCTAATATCTTCAATTCGCTCGCCGGTTTGTTATTGTTTAAACAAAAGCTAAGGCTTGACCCTATCTGCCCTTGAATAAGTACGTGTAGCTCTTATCTGTGAAATTGGCAATAATCAGCAGGTAAACCCCACAAACACAGTGAACCTACTGCAGGCGATTCGCAGGATGAGCCAAGGTGCCTCGGAGGTGCCACTTTCGGGTAGGTAGCCCCAATAACACAATATGCTCCAGTAAATGGCATGCTTTTAACTCCGTGGAACCAGCCCTGCGCCTGAAGTACTGTGAGCGCAAGGACGCCTTCCTGGAGGATGACATCAAGGTGAAGAATCCCTTTTGCGTATTTCGGGACTGGCTGGAGCTGGCACTGAAGACGCCGGAGATCCTGGAGCCCAATGCCGCCGCTCTGGCCACCGTCGGTGCGGAGGGAAGGCCCTCCAACCGCTATGTGCTGGTCAAAGAAGCCACCGCCGAGGGCTTCACCTTCTTCACGAACTACGGAAGCCGCAAGGCGGAGGACATCAAGTCCAATCCCCATGTAGCCATATCCTTCTACTGGCTGCCCTTGCGGCGAAGCGTCCGCATCGAGGGCGTGGCTGAGAAGATCACGGCGGAGGACTCGCTCAAGTACTTCCACCAGCGACCTAGGGCCAGCCAAATCGGAGCCGCTGCCAGTCCGCAAAGCCAGCGGATTCCGTCGCGCAGCTACTTGGACGACGTGGAGGCGGCAATCAAGGAGAAACTGGGTCCCGATGGCGAGGTGTCGCTGCCCAACTGGGGTGGCTACTTGGTGCGTCCCGACCTTATTGAGTTCTGGCAGGGCCAGACCGATCGGCTCCACGATCGCATCCGCTTTAGACGAGGTGGGGGAGTGGAATCCGAGGTCGACGGCAAACTGGTCCACAAGGGAGAGGATGGCTGGGTGTACGAACGGCTGGCTCCTTAGGTACTGGGAACTGGAGCTCAGCTGCAGATGCATTGAAAATGTCTTCCAATTACAAGGTTAACTACCACATACAAATTAAACGTTAAATTTCCCTTTTCGGTTTGAAAGCATACTAGCTAAAGATAATATATAGTTCGCAGCTTATAATATGACCGTGTTTAACTGCCATAAAACTTACGTCTTTAAGCACTGGCTAAACTTATAGTTAAACAAGCAGCATAAGCATTTTTAATCCGTTCCCTGGCAGTTTGTTATAAATTGTAAAGCACATCGAAAATTACTATGTCGTCTGTTTCGGTACAAAAGTTGTGGAGTACGCTTTGGTCAACAGGATCAGTAAGCCGCTTTGCGCAGCACATGAGCCACGTTTCCCACCAGGTGAGCTGTATAGCCAGCGAGGAGCACCGGGTGTACGAGGAGCCCCACGTCATCTTCCAGAACTGGCTGATGGCCGCCCAGAAGGAGGCGCCTCAGGTGCGGCCTCGACTAGCCTGCATGGCCACGGTAGACAACTCCGGTGAGCCTGTGACCCGCCTGACCAGCATAGAGGAGGTCAATGCCCATGGCATCACCTTCTTCACGACCCTGGGCAGTCGGCAGGCGGGCGAGATTAGCGCCAATCCGCACGTGTCGCTGCACTTCAACTGGGCGCCGCTCATGCGTAGTGTCCGCATAGCAGGATCTGCCCACCAGCTAACGGAGGAGCAGGCTCGGGACCAGTTCCGCCGATTCCCGCGCCATATCCAGATGAGCATCACCCATGGACCACGATACGCTGCGGCCGACTGGCAATCCCGATCCGGGTTCCTCGCGCGGATCGGGGAGCGCTTCAACACCTGGCTTGGCAAGCAGCCGGAGGAGATCCACATGCCGCACAACTGGGGAGGCTTTATTCTTACGCCCAGCCTTTTCGAGTTCGGAATGCTCAGCGGCGAGAAGGCCGGCAGGACTCGGGTGCGATTTCGTCGTTGTCTTGAAATGCCCAGGGTATGTAGGTCCAAGTCATAAGTGTTGCACCTCAAAAGCTTTTATTGCATTAAGATTCGGAGACAAAGTAGATAGGCCTTTAAAATATTATCGTATAACCTATCGATCCCTGCCATAACACTAACTTTTATATTTCTAACTATGAATGTTATTCCTCTTTATCTTAGTAAAGTAAGTACATATATAGAGTATTTACATAAGTATATACCGGATTAGTATCTCTAGCTAATTCGCATGAAACTATGAAAGCGACAGTTGAGAATACTTACTCATTAATTAATCAGATTTGAATTTGTACCACGCCCACAAAATGTTTGCATTTTGTTGAATTTACGACTGGCTAGGTAAGGGGTGTCTGCTAGTCGAGGAACTTTAAAAGACCGCTCTCTCTCTTGCTATATCTAAACTACTAAAAGTGAATTATATTGTTTCATAAATTTATTTCTTCCAGGGCACAAGAGTGGGGACCGTTCAAGCTGAAAGGCAGGACTGGGTCTATGATTCCTGTGAGGAAAATTGATATGGAAATACTCAAGTACCTGATTCGGCTTTAAATATTTCTGTGTACAAGACCCGGTAGTCCCCTTGTCATCTTTATGACCACCACGTGTAGCGTACTTTTGCCATTACTGCTAAATCTAAAGTGAAATAAATTCATAAGTAGTATTACTTAACAATCTGGTGGGAAATTAAGAAAATTAAGAGATTCGATTTAATGTAATAGACACACCTTTTTTAAGTTCAAAGTTAATTTTAATGGAAAAATTAAGGTTTTGTTTTAAGTGCTGCTTAACATTTGTATAATTTTCTTTGTTTCCCTTCTTTTCGTTTATTTTCTTACAGGCTTGCAAAATATAAAACAAGGAAATGGTGCGTATTTATTTATTTTTGTAAACCAAATACGAGTATATGTGTGATTTTTAATGTTTTATTGTGCTCCGTGTGCGGTCTTCTCTATCCGTTTTCAACGGGCTGAAAAGGTAAATTGATTTGCCGTCAAGGGAGCTTATGTAGTTAACAGATCGTTGCCAAATTGCATTTAAGTGAAAGCGTTAGTTCATTCAGCTTGCCCTCAATCGCATTTCAAATGCATTAAAAGCACGGCTCGCAGCCGCCTAATTGGATGTCCTGGGGTCCTGCAAATGCCCACTGCAGGCGAGTGCACGAGTGTGTGGGTGTGGGCGTGGATGTGGGCACGTGAAAATTTAATAAAATAAATAGGCGAGTGCAGTCGAGCGCAAAGAGTAATGCCCGCCGGGAAATGTGGGATAGATGGTCGGATGGATGAGTTGTACAGGGATGTGGATGTGCAGGGAACGAAGGCCAAGCGGCAGTGACAACAGACAACAAATAGTGAAAGCCAAAGCGCAAGGCCGGAAAAGCGCACGCCTCCAAGCCATGCCCACATGCCCACATGCCACCGTGCCACCATGCCAACACCCACATTTTCCGCCCGCTCTACAAATTTGCCTTTGCACTCCTTTGTAATCGTAGCCATCGCTCTGTTAGTCGTTCGCTTCCTTCCTCGGTTCGTTTTAGCTTTCCTGTTTACTTTGTCCTGCTCTGCGCTTTGTCTTATCCTTCGTCTCGGCGTTTTGTTTTGCTCGTTCTGTTTCGTCCCTTTTCGGCTTTTCCCGCACAGAGCGTTTGTGTTTAGCTCTCTCTCTGTCTCTGCAAATCTCTCTGCGGCTCTCTCACGGAAAATGCAGAGAGCACGAGAACTTGTTGGCAAGGATAATGAATATTCTTATTTTCGTTGCGTGCCAGCTCAGTTGGATAGGGTTGCCAACGCTGTCGAAACTCCACACAATACAAGAAAAGGTAAATCGAATATGACACAAAATTGATGTGAATACGTTAATATATTATTACTGGAAAGTATTTCTTAATTAAACTTGATACTCGTAGAGTAAAAAGGTATACTATGTTCGTTGAAAAGCATGTAACTGGTAGAAGGAAGGTTTTCCGAGCTTATAAATTCTAATCAGGTTCAAAAGCTGAGTAACGGGTATCTGATAGCCGATAACCAACTCTACCGTTTCTTCTAACCTTTATTCAATTTTTTACTTATAAACAAATATTTGAATAACCAATATATTTTTCTAAATCATAGCTCTAATATATCATTTGATAGTGAAAATACACGTGAACTTGGAATCGCCCTCCAAGGGTTTTTAGTAATAAATTTCATTTAGTCACTTAATTACTTCTTTTACTGTTACCTCTACCAAGCATAAAATAACTTTTAGTTTAGTCACCTGCTTACTTCCATTACTGATCCCTTCCTTGTCCTAAAACAGGTTTTAGGATTCCAGCATTTTTATCCGCCACCTGGCAACCCTGGGCGCCAGCCTGCTGCCTTTCCTTTGGTTTGGACCAGGCCCACTCCGCTTTGGGCCACGGCAGCTGGCAGCGAACAGTGAGGGTTGCGGTCTCGTTCAGTTCGCCGCGCGGCTCCGGCAGTTTCGCTTTCTGATTGAGACTCAGATTCAGGCTCGGTTCCAGTCTCAGTTCCGAGCAAACTTCGGCGGGGAGCAGAAGGAGCTGTAGAGCTGTGGAGCTGTGGAGCCCGAGCAGGACATAAAAATAGACACGAAGTACTGAAACAATAACTCGAGGCGGCGAGCTAGTGTAGAATTTTATACATATAGAATTGGGAGGGGAGCAGCAGGAAGTGGCGTATAATTAAGGACAAAAACGCAATTTCAATTATCGTTAGTGTAATCCTGAATGTGAGTTTAAATGTGAACTGTGAGTGCGCGGTATTCGGAAATTTATGCTAGGCACTTAGATACTCTGGATGTGGCGTACTTTTTCCCATTGCAAATTAGTTAGTGTGGCCTAATCAAATATATACATATATACACGTACATATATTTAAATTGAACAGTATACACATGTGTGTTGATGTGCAAATATTTTTGCTAAAATTTATTACATTGATGTTGAATGTGTGCTCTTCGAACGCTCGTGCAATTATAGTAATCTGAACAAAGGCACTCTGACCGCTTTCAAATGCCAAAGGACTAGAAAAAGCAGTCCTTTTCACCAAAAATCGTAGGGTGTAAGCCCATTTGCCGTTGTCAGGGGGTGTGTCCAAAGCGGGGACCTGGGAGTCCTTTTACATAAACAGGGCGAGCTGCAAATGGGACAGCCACCTGCGGCTACACGTCGGCTACGCAACGCTGGAATCCCTCGCTTTGTTCGCCGCTGAGTGCTGCGTGTCCTTGCAACGTGACAGCCCGATTGTGTCCCGGATATGCAAAGCAGTCCCACATCCCGACAATGGCCCACTTAAAACTGGACACCCTCCACGTGCAGCGAAGCCCTCGTGGCTCCCGCAGGAGCAGTCCGAGCAGCGGAAGAAGCAGTGCCTGTAGTTCCGGTAGCATCTCCCCGGTGCCCATCATCCCGATCATCTCCATCAGCCACGATGGCGACGAGTCCGAATCGGAGTCGGAAATCGAAACCGAGCCGGTGCGCCTCTTCCAGCGCCGCATGTCCACCAAGTGCACCAATAACCTGGTAAGTTCCAAGACCTGGTCGTACTCATACTGTTTTGGGGATACAAGGGATTTCGTTTAGGCTTTTAGGACATTCTGCAATACATGTGTAGCTTGGCCGAAACTAATTGCATCTGAACTTGTTATAGTAGTCAGGATTTGGACTGCACCGTGCTCCCACCAGTTGCAAAAAACAATCCCAAGTATCGATCTGTTTATGATATGACTATTTAACAAATTGTATAAACAAAAATTGCACAGCAGAAATGACTGCATTTTTCTGCGTGGCCAGGAGTCCTGCGGCTTTGTCACGGGACCCACCATGGTGGTGCACCGGAGCGTCCTCGCCAAAGTTTCTGGAGCGGAAGTTGCATGCAAAGGGGCAAGCAGCGGACGGGGTGCCCGCTTTATATGCGAGTTGCGTGTGTCGAGAGTTTATGTTTCAAGTACCTCGGTGAGCTACAGCAGTGCCAAAGGTCAGAGGCGCAGTTCGAGAAGTCGGTGAAATATTTTAGCGTCGCTGCTGCATAGGTCAGGGGTCAGGGGTCAGGGAGACCCCCATTTGCAGATTGCTTCGCTAGCTAAGCGGGCGCCCATTTCAATCGCCATTTAAGTGCATTATTAAAATGTAATCCGACGCTGTCCATGTCGCCCGAAATGAAAAAGAATTGTATCCACTTGCGACTCGCGGTGGCTCAAAAAAAGAAGGACCGAGCGTATTTTAATTAAACGTTGCCATAGTTGCCCGGCGGCCAGGTCTCGCAAATAAAAGAATCAAAATGATGGAAAAGCTAAAGAAAGGCAAGCCCCAAGACTCCGCGAAGCCCGAGAAAAGCTTCAATTAAGTTCTCTATGGTTTGTTGACACTTTGTACCGCCGACCAAGCTTGCCCCTGCCCGCCGGTACACCGCGTCGTATGAACAATGTTCCCGGGTTGCTGGCCATTTGATGTTAATTATACGCATCGCTGCGCCGACCCTTCCGCCCAACTTTGGCCTTTGCAAACCTATTGTATTTTTATCCAGCTCCCGATGGCCTCCCGCTCGAGTTTCGGCCACCGCCTCGCCCACTCGCTTGGCCAACTGCAATTTACGCTTTAAGCGAAGCATTGCTTATTTGTGATTTATAGCACTCGGGCGCTGGCCAAAACACAGAAACACATTTGCCTGATTGTGACAGACAAGCAACATTCAAGTGCTCCCGTGTGGAGAGGGGCGTGGCCCCATGAACCCACATGTGGCCCGTTGGGTCGCCTGGTGTGGGGCTTACACATGTCAAACCGCAAAACAATAAGCGAGCGCTGAACAAAGCGGCTTAGTGCAGGGCTTGATGAGAGCGTTTTGGCTAGCGTGCTGCCAGCCCGAAGGCGGCGACAATAAGACAATAGGAAGAGCCTCAGCAGTTGGGGCACAGTGCGGGGCAAGCGACTAGGAACGGGCTCGAAAGCTGGCAGCACTAACTGAACTCGAACGGGCTTTGAGACTTTAAATACATGTACGCATTTTTATACAATTTCAGTTGTAAAAGCACAAAGGCTTTGCAAAGTTTGTAAAATGTATTTAATTTTAACAGCCCGGGCTACAGAAATGTGCCAGCGATTGTAGTGCTTTTCAGCCATTTAAATGCAGCGTTAAGAAAGCCTACTGTGTAAACAAAGACAGAAGTCTTGCCAACTCTTTACCTCTGCCTCATTCTGTGGATTTTCCTGAGTGGGCTGTTGCCGCAATATCCTTGAGTCTGACTTCTTTTCTCGCCCGGGCTTATTAAATAAAGGCTGAATTATTTACGACTATTTACTCAGACAATTGGCCAACGGTTTTGCGCCTCACGTGAGCCGCCAAAGGAACCCGAAGCTCTGAATCTAATTTCCTTAATTTAAGGCTGATTGCTCGAATTGAAAAGCTTAAAAGTCTGAGCGAAATGGCTAGGAGCGGATTGCCTAATACCTACGCCTAATGTATTTGCCAGGTGATAGAATAAGGGCACAGAAATGGAAGTAAAAGTCATGGCTGGGAAATCTTACGTTATGTTTACGTGGCCTGGCTGACTGAGCAACAACAGCAAGTCATACTCATATCTGCGGACCGGCTTTTTATTTATCTTGTATCTTTTTTACCTCAGCGAAGGTGGGGGAGAAGAGGGAGCAGCTTGGGGCAGGTGGCGTTAAATCAAAA